AAACCAGCCCAGGTTAATAAAGACTGCACATAATTATCAGATACCTGACTGAAATGAGTTGGTACTTTCAGTCAAATTACTAAGGAACATCTGTCAACCTCACAGGAAAACCCACATGTGTAAAGAGCTGCAAGAGTTCCAGAGCTATTGCCGTAGCTTTCACGGAGCACAGGGGAGCAGCCTCCAGGTACCTGTTTTCATAGTCAATGATCACTAATATGTACTGACATCCCAAGGCAGTTTTCCTTAGGGGCCCAACCATATCCACACCAATTTTCTCAAAGGGCATCTCATACAGGGCAGAGGGACCAAGGGTACCATAGAGCCCCTTTGCTGATGGCTAGCTGACACTCTGGGCAGGAGGAATGGTATTTTCTTATCCCATTGTGTATACCTGGCCAGTAGAACCAGGTTAATACCCGAGACAAACTCTTCGCCCTTTCCAGCTGTCCAGCACATGGGATGTCATGTGCAAGTTGCAACACCACCTGACGGTAACTGTGTGGGCCCTCACCACCTCAGCTGGGCCCTCACCACCTCAGCTTGTTGATCTCTTTCAAACTGGTACAAGTGCTCCTTCTTGAGTGCAAAGTGTGGATACTACTCACCCTGCTGAGGCTTTGTTACCTCATCATTTATGGAGGGCAGTTGTTCATATGCATGGCTCAGTATAGGGTCATTCCTCTGTTCTTGTACAAAATTCACGCTGTGTAGGATGTCTTCCAGGTCCCAGCTGCTTATCTCTTCTTTCCCTGTGGGTGTCAGCAGCCGAGTTGCTCAGAACATTTCTTCTTCAGGGTCGTTGGCTTCCCCCAGACTCAACAAGCTCCGGGGAACTGGTTGTACTGATGGACCCTGATCCTTGCTTGTTATCTGGGCTTGTGCCAGAAAAAAGGGCAGTCCCGTTCTATGAATATGGGATAGGCCAATTTTTTGGATGGGTGACCATTACCACTGCAGTATGGGTTCCCACAGTCAGTTGTAGCTGTTGGCTGGGATATATTTGACATTGCCATATATATATACACACTACAGGTGGATCATATGCTTAGGAATGTTGTTACCTCCACCATGGAAGTCTGAACCACCATCTGACTGCAAGTCCAGAGTCCTTGAACCATCTTCCCTTGGACCACCACTGGTACCATCAACTTAGGGGGAGTCTTTTTCCGTACCTGGATTTCTGCTGTCCAGCCCTAGGCATATTTGCATTCCATAAGAGAACACTCCCTCTTTGTGTGTCTAGTCTGCCCATAGGAATAGAATGTTTATGGGCTAGTGCTGCCGGCATCTTTCCTACATGAGGATAGGCCCAGTCGTGGAGTGGCAGATGGAACCTGGTCTATGGATTCTGTTCCCGTTGTTTGAAGTGCCTGGCAGCCTCATGGATTATGTTGTGTTTATGCCCAAACGCCCTGTCTTCCTGGGACTACCCTTGGTCCAAGGGGTGGTCTGACCATCTGGGAGAAGCCCCTCATGGTGTGACACTGCAACCCATATTCTTCACTTTTATATTATGATGATAGGTTTATGGTATAATTATGATGCATTTTGTACATAAGTCATGTGAGGTATCATTGGAAAAGTTATGATTTCCTGAATATTATTATCCTATTTGTATGCATGTATCATTTTTGTTATGAATATTGACTATATATCTGTATTTCAAATGTAGTTACACCTAGGTAATGCCCAGTAGACCAGATGCTTTCAGTCTAGATAGCTGGTTTGGAAGGGCCTATTCAGGGTAATGAGCCGTTAGGGAAAACAACAGGCCTTAGGAGAAGCTCATCTCCCACCTGGTGAGCCTTCCTGAGAATGCTACAGACAGCCTGTGAGTGATGGCTGCTATGACTCTACAGTGACATGTGATCAGAACACATGATGCTGGAGTCCATATTGGTATGTCAGTATTTTTCCACAGACTGATCTGGGAACCAAGCTTTGGAACAAAGGGTTCCCACCGTATGCAAAAGCTATATAAGGCAGGGTGTGACGTCATCTGTGGTTCTTCACTCCCCACACAAGAAGACAGCTGGAAACACCCAAGGAACAAAGACTGAACTGCGGGAAGTGCTGGACCCAGGCTAAAGGGATTTCTAGCCTGTGCATGAAACACTTGGGGATTCCAAGCTGTAAAGCTAATGCAGCTTGCCCCTTAAGAATCTGCAGTCTGCTTGTATCATCTCTTAGGGTGAGAATCTGCTAATTCATATAAAATCTATTTAGTATATTAAGCTTAGATTGTGTTTTTGTTATTTGCTAGGTAATCCGCTTTGATCTGTTTGCTATCACTTACAATCACTTAAAATGTTTTGTAGTTAATAAAATTATTTTATATATTATTCTAAACCAGTGAGCTTTGACTGGAGTGCTTGGGGAAAATCTATGCTTGGTTACCACAAGTGTGCATTGTTCTCTTCGCATTGATGGAGAGGTGGACCAGGTATTAAGCCCCATATACTGGCTAGATTTGACCAGGGCAGGATGGTATTGCCCTGGGGTCCCAGGCTGGGAAGCTGGTGGTTAGAGAGCCTGCGCGTAACTGCACCTGGGTGTATCCCTACCTGTATGAATGCTGGTGAAGGCTTTGGGTGATCCTGCCACTAATGCTCTTTTGCTCCTACAAAGTCCTCCATTAGCCTAACTGCTTCAGATAATGTCCCCGGGCAGTGCCGTAGCAACAACTCCTTGCCTTCCACAGTTAATGTCTTTATGAATTGCTCTGTCACAATGGCCTCAGCCATCAGGGCCCCTATCGCTCCTCTGGATGGAGCCACTTCCAACATTCTCACAGTCATTGTGCCACTATCCAGGGTCTCGCCACCCTGGGGTAGCTCTCAGTTCTAAATCATTGACAGTGGGTCGCCTCAGAAATACCCAAGTAATCCAAAACTTTACGTGTTTGTCGTCTTGCCCTCTCCAAGTCCAGATTACGATAGGATGCCTGGGCCAGACCCATCAAGTATGGAGCCGGGATCAAAGCCAATTGTTCTGCGGGCCACTAGAATGTTAGTGCCTCCTTCTCAGATGTAACTAGGAAGGTTTCAGGGTCATTGTCCAGCCAGAGGCGTTGTTTGACTTCTACATTTGGGGAGGCAAGAGGCTTAATACTATTAATAATGGGAATAGGTCTAACTTCTGGATTTACTGATTGTTAGTGGTATTTAAATTACAGTGTACTTGAAATCACAAATTCAGTTTATGTTCATTAGACCTTACCTGATCACTCTCATTACAGTGTGTATGGTAACACCCATTGTTTCATGTTCTCTGTGAATATAAATCTCCCCACTGTATTTTCCACTGAATGCATCCGATGAAGTGAGCTGTTGCTCACGAAAGCTTATGCTCAAATAAATTTGTTAGTCTCTAAGGTGCCACAAGTACTCCAAATCTTTTTGCGGATACAGACTAACATGGCTGCTACTCTGAAACCTGAAAGTTAAGTGTTACTTAATATTTTTGAACAAGGCATTTTAAGTTGTTAGTTCTCCTTTATTGGGGTAGGTAGCAGAGCAGTACCATGGAAGGAGTAGAACAGGAAGAAAGCAGAACTGAGACCTTTCAAAGTTTTGGCCCAAGCGAGGGGATATGGGGGCATCATTTGAGCTCCCCGCCTCAGGTGCCAAAATGTTGTGGGCCGGCCCTGAGTATTCATGACACTTACTTTGATTTATCCAATATCAATAGTCCAATCTGAGTAGCTCTGAAAGTAAAAGCTTCTCTCCAGCAAAGCCCTAACCTGTCCAGAAGGCTGTTGATCCAGTGGAATGTACTGGCTCAGCAGGGCAAAGGCTGATCTACTTTAATTCCCTCTCTGTGGAGTTTTTTCTTTCCCACCAGAAGACATATAATGTGAACAGACAACTATCCTTCAGTTGTTGGTGTGGGTGTGAGTGGGTTAGGTTGTTTTTTGTTTGTTTTTGCATCAGGAAATTGAACTAGTAGGAGTTCAAGGTTTTTAATACTGAAATCTGGTCAAAAGGGCTGTAAACTGATCCTACAACTCTGTTGATAAATTATTTCTCTTATCACAAAGGCAAGATGGTTTGGTATATTTTTGGCCTGATTTTCTATAGTGCTGGATGCTCAGCACTTTGGTAATTTAGTTATGTATTTAACCTGTAAGTGGTAGTCTACTGATATCTTGTTTGGTTTATTTACTTATCTAAATATGAATTTGGAAGTCTAACTTTAGGCTCCTGCTTCTGAAAATGTTGACCATAAGATTTTTAACTTAACAGTATCCCTTTAATATTTCTAAAGCTACATGTATGTACACTGGCAGTTTGGGATAATAAATGTGTGTGAAGTTAATCAGTGATCCAGTGCATGTGTGTGTGAGAAGGCAAGCAGTTAAACAGACTGAGTGCATCTGGGGGATCTATGTAAGGCAACCAAGGTATTTTGTGTGTATCTCAAGGAAGCAAAGGCTGGGCACTAGAGTAGGAAAAGAAAGTAAGAAGGAAAGCAAAGGGGAAAACTAGGTAAGATAACAAGGTATGGGAGAGGGGAGAAAATTGTTTCCTCAGCCCATGTAATCTTATTGCTATCTTATTGCTTGAACCATTTAACATGATCAGCATTTCAGATGCTCCATGTTTGAACCTCCAATTTAAATCATTACTGTTCAGAATAGGCTTGGAAAAATAATTGAAATTACAATATTATCAATCCAGAGATAAAATAATATAGTAAATAAATCTACTACTTGTTCTAAAATAGGGTTTGTGTATCAAGTGCTGCTGTGTCCTGCCTCACACTTTAAGCATTCACTGATGATACAGGCAGTGAAGTGAGCCCTCTGTGTACCTGAGATATGAGCTGGTTGTGTTTTTAAAGGGCTTTGTGATTCTCTGGGACCGAAAGGTGCTCTCTATACCATCATCATTCGTGTCACGGAGAGTCTGAAAGGTACCATCAGTTCATTTCCTGACACCGGAATGTTCCTGTTCTCTTCCAGAGAGCCTTCGGGGTGGTCAGACCAGGCCGCCAGCTGCTGCTTGTACCTGTAAGACCACAACACACAGGCAGGGTTATCGCCCACAGCAAGGCCCCAGACCGGAAGTGAAGCAGCAAGGTGGACTACATTTCCCAGAATGCCTCGGGGCGGAGGCCAGCCCGAAGGCTGACTTAAGGGCCGCTGCTGGGAGACATTACAGGAGGGCCTGATCCCTGGGCAAAGGTAGGTGCCCGTGTAGCGTGACAAACGGCTCGCTCGCTGTTTGCTACGGGGGCTGCGCGGTGGGGGGGGAGCAGGATCAGCTGCCACTGCCTTGGCTACCGTGTTTGCTCTTGACAGCTGGGGAAAGGGGTGACTATTTATCGTGGGCCTTTTCAACGGCCAGGTTGTGGCGGGGGGCGAGCTCCGAGGGGCAGTGCGGCGGGGGGGCTGTTTCGGGGCAGTGGATGAGCTCACAGGGGCATGCGGGGGGGCTGTTTCGGGGCGGTGGATGAGCTCACAGGGGCATGCGGGGGGCTGTTTCGGGGGGTGGATGAGCTCACAGGGGCATGCGGGGGGGCTGTTTCGGGGCGGTGGATGAGCTCACAGGGGCATGCGGGGGGGCTGTTTCGGGGCGGTGGATGAGCTCACAGGGGCATGCGGGGGGGCTGTTTCGGGGCAGTGGGGGGGGGGGACTATGTAATACAGGGTGTGGGGGGGGGATTAGTTAGGGGACATGACCTGAGGGGCAGATGTTGGAAGCTGGGGAGGCGTTTTCGGACGGGGTTTGGCAGGAGATGGGGCGATGAAGGGGCAGCTGGGACGGGCAGGGAGGAAGCGAGGGGTGCGTGTTGGGGGGTGGGGTTGGGTGATGCGTGGAAGCGATTCAGGGGACAGGTGGGAGGTCACAGGGGGTTGCGGGGGGGTGTGTGTGTGTGTGTGGGGAGGAGGAGGATGAGCAGTGTTGGGTTATGGAAGGGGTTCGGGCGGCCGGAGCGGGGTGGCGGGAATGAGGGGCTGAGATGTGGGGGGAGTGTTGGACCCTCATGCCCTTTGCCCCAGTCTCTGAGTGCCGAGCGGGGCTGCTCCCGCCGTGGGCGGCGGCCCGGGAGCTGGCGGAGCCGTCGCCCATTCCTCTCCCCCTGTCTCCGGTCAGTTGGATGCAGGCGCCGCGGGGAGGGGGAGCTGCTGCTGCCGCTGCGCGCGCGGTTCCAGCTGACACATCTCGGGCCCGGCTGCGGCCGAGGGGAAGGCAGGGGGCATGGCGGAGACCGGCTCGGTGCATGAGACCAGGTTTGAGGCGGCCGTGAAGGTGATTCAGAGCTTGCCCAAAAATGGTAAGTGAGCGGGGCCAGGAGGCTTGTGTCCGTGCAGGGCCTGTGGGGCTGCAGCCGGCCGGAGGAGAGGAGACCTGCGGACTCGGACGCTCGCCTGCTCTTTTGCCATCTGGAGCGCAGGCCGATTACAGCCTTGCCACCGATGAAGGGAGCTGTAGCTCACGAAAGCTCATGCTCAAATAAATTTGTTAGTCTCTAAGGTGCCACAAGTCCTCCTTTTCTTTCTTGGGGGGAGGGATACCTCAGTGGTTTGAGCATTGGCCTGCTAAACCCAGGTGTGAGTTCAATCCTTGAGGGGCCATTTAGGGATGGGGCAAAAATTGGGGATTGGCCCTGCTTTGAGCAGGGGGTTGGACTAGATGTCCTCCTGAGGTCCCTTCCAACCCTGATATTCTAAGATTCTTTTTCTAGGAGAGCAATCCCTGGCTGTTCCCTTGCACCGCCTCCTCCTGCCAGGACAAGATAAACCTGATTTCTCACCCCCCTCCCCCCCCCGCAGCTCTGCCGAGGCAGCCACATCCTCCCCATAAGCCCCCTCTAGAGCTCTAAACGAGGGTACCTGGCAGGCAGCCGGAATGCCAGGGAGTCCCCCAGAGGGGCTAGGGAATTACTGACAGATGATGAGGGGACTGGCTGAGCGACACCAGCCATTAAACATGATGACAGAGCTGTTCCTTACGCTGGCCTTCTGGGCCAAAAGCTTATTCATAACTTATTTGTTCAGCCACTTAGACATGTCATCGTCTGCAATTTTCTCATATTTGCAATCAGTGGTTCAATAAATACTGTACTGTAAGGGTTTGCAGGGGCCCAGCAGATCAAGTTTTAAAATTTGCTTTTAATATGTTTTCCCGAGCAGTTCAAAATATGTTTGATCATTCCTGATGCCACAGAACAAATTTCTTTGTTCCTCCAGAGAATGTTAAGCATGCATTTTGTTCACATAGGAGGTGTTTTGTTGATGTAAACAATGTAGCTTTTACTATCCTACTCTTCCCATTCCACCTTTGTTGCAAAAGTAGGAGAAAGTACTTGCCTCCTTGGAATCCCTAATATGATTTTCAAAAAAAAAAATGACTTGGGCCTAGAGACGACCAATTTATTTGAGCATGAGCATCAGCTGATGAATTTGTTATGTCTGAATGAATAAGACTAAAGTCTCGAAACCTGTTAATATGATTTTATTACAAATGATGTTGCTGAAGAGTAAAAGAGGGAATTGCAAAAATTGAGGACAAGACTTTTTTTTCCCCTAGAGTTTTTATTTGTTGCTATTATCAAATAGACACTGCTGATCTTACATTAACACAGAAGCCAAAAAACTCACCACAAACTGGTATAAACTGTAATTGATTTTGTGAGGGCAAAAATTAAAGGATCATTATCAGCTTTTTAAAAAAACTGAATAGATTTCTACTTAAAAGTTGTTTCAGGAGAAATGCCTGAGCATGAATTCCCTCTGCCAAAAAATCCGATTTTCCTGTCTGTACACATGTTTTCTGTTGTTGAGAAAACAGTGACTGTACAGAAAGTGCTGTCAAATGCCTAAAGTAAACAAACTGAAGAAATAGTGAAACATTTTGATCTCAAATCTGTCAATTATGTTATTTGCTATAGGTAAAAATAGTTTTTCAAAATCCAGACAAATGTGGTGAAGTTGATTGTGTCCTTTTAAAGTGGTCAGGGTGACTTATTTTGCAGTCCCTCTATCTGAACGTGGAGCTTAAAGTCCAAAGTCATTGATCATGCAGCCCCTTAAACTAGGTCTGAAATTTTCCCTCAATCAGTAAATATTCACTCTGGTGTAATCCAGAAATGTATTAACCCCCACCATCTCCATTGACTTCAGGGGGAATTGTGCCTTTGAGGAGCAGACTCTTTATCATGCTGTGAGTTATAAGAAGTGCAGGTTAATTTCCCACAGAAATATTAACAATGCATAAAAGAGACTAAACGTCTTTAATGTCAATTTCTACTGATTTTAAAATGTTTTCACTAGGTTCATTCCAGCCAACGAATGAAATGATGCTCAAGTTCTATAGCTTTTATAAGCAAGCAACCCAAGGACCCTGTAACAGTCCAAGACCTGGATTCTGGGATCCTATTGGTAGATATAAATGGTAATTGTGTGTGAGAGATTGTTTGGTTATTTGTACTGAAACTTTGTCTAAGAGCGTCTTCTCTCTTTTTAAAGACTTCAGTGAACAAAACTGTAGTGTGTGTGTTTTCAAAAAGTCCCTTCGCTTGATAATGAAATTGGTATGTATATTTTGGATTTTCCTCCTGTGTTCCAGCCTTTACGTTAGGGGAGAGGACATTCCCTTTGCTTCTAAAATTGAGGATGCTGCAGCTTGGGCAGATCTCATTGTAGTACCTCTGCAGTATTTCCTCCTCTCCCCAGAATTTAGGGGAGCCCAAATCAGTTTACACCAATAGGGGGGCAGTGCTCTTAGGCTGTGGCAACAAGTTCCTTCCCATCTGACTGCCTGTACCTGAGATGGCTCCATTACAGAAAAGACAATCTGGGCTTTTACTACAAGTTGGATGGAGAATTTAATAGTAGGAAAGAAAGGATCAAATGAACTAAGCACAGGACTGAGAGTAAGGGAATCTCGTGTTCTAATCCCAGTTCTGACATAGATTCCCTCTGTGGCTTTAGTCAAATCACTCCATGTTTGTACCTTACAGTTTTCCAGTGTGTAAAATAAAGATAATACTGCTTGCCTAGTTCACAGGCAATCATGATGATGGTTAATGTAAGTACTGTAAAGCACTTTACAAATCCTAAAGTTAATCCAATGAGCACACCAAACTCTTCAGCATTTGGGGAGAGGGAAACTATGATCTCCAGATTTATGTTTATACAATCATCTCTTGAAAAGCTTTTCAAAAAATATTGGTAACTATATATGGACCCCAGCCCAAGCATCTGAGCTCCACTTCTACAGCATGAGTCCTAAAAATCAACCACTACCTGGCTTGCTTTTTATTTAAAATTAGTTAGTTAACATTGAAATGCCTCTGAATAACTTTGCTGATCCTCCCTGCGTACAGTGACATGTATGCCCCCTGCCCCCCCCCCCCCCCCAAAAAAATGCTAAGGCCAGCTCTGCGTAGGATGGGATTTCTCCTCCTGTATCTCAGGGATCCATGGAGGTAGGAGACTCCTCCTTGTCCTCTGCTATAATAATTGGATCTAAAAGTTTACTCTAATTATGAGCTTAAGTGCATAAAATGTCACTAATTTATAACAAATGTTGACCGGGAAAAGTTATGAAAGGGAGCTAGCCAGCCAGACTGAATTAGTCCAAGCAACAAGGCATACTGATCTAACTGAAGGACTGTGTTAAGATCCTGCTGGATAAATAAGAGAAGTATAGAACCAGAAATCAGTGAACCAAAACTGCTATGTCAAAAATTAGGCCTCTGTTTATATTATGTCAAATAATATAAATAATATTTGAAATAATATTCTGAAATAATTTCACCCATCACTCCTATTTTGGGTCCTTAAGGAAAGAGGCTTTGGGTAAAAAAAAAAAAAATTGGCTACTGGAGTGAACTTCACCATCCTCACTGCCACTCCCACCATCTCCTGTGACTCTTGGCCTCCATTATCCTGATCCTGAGAGAGATCCTGATCAGGCCAGAGAGAGGGACCCAGACGACATCACCACTGGCTCCCGCTGAGATGAACACCACCTGGGATGAAATGGGATTGGACTGTAACTGCAACAGCTCCAATCTGTCTAATCTAACTTCTTTTCTTTTCCCCCAAAGGACAGTTATTACCATCTTTGATACTATCTAAGACAGGCAAACTAGGGTGTGTGTTCTTTTTCCCTTTAGCTGGAGAGAGTTTTAGAAGAGAAAAGACAATGGATGTTGTTAAAATAAAAGCCTTATTCAATACGTTACATTTCAAATATTTTTACCATTTTTCCTTTTCTTCTTTACCTTTCTTTTAAACTTTTTTATTAATTTTTAATAATGTGTTTGCCATAGTACTAAGCAGTCTTTTTAGGCCAGATCTTGTTCAGCACTGTTTAATGTTAAACAGTAACTAAATTAAGGTAATTAGATTAGACCATCTATTCCATTTAAATTTAATACAACACTCCACAAACCTCTTCTTATCCCCCAGGGAAGACTTGCAAGGAAATGGACATTGGAATCTCAAAGTTTCCTGGGACACCTGTGGTTTTTTATGAATGGCTACAATATGGCCCCAAACCCATAATGTATATTGTGTTAGAGATAAGTAAGCAATTTTATTTTTAGGCTGCTACTTTCCTGTTGGAGTAAGGCTTAATAGAAAAGATTAAATAGACCTGTACATAATTCTGGTTGTGTTTATACATCAGCTTACATGTATAAATATGTATATGGCTAATATTAAAAATACCTTTTTGAAGGTCCCATCTCTTTCAAAACTGATCTTGTCCAATGCCAAACAGTTGGTCAGAATCTGGAATAGAACTTGTGTCCTGACTCACTGTCCAGTCCCCTATCCACTGGATCACGCTGCCTCTCAGAAGATATCCAGTTACCTGATTATGCTCCCAGATCAGGTAACTGGGAGAAATAAGGCCATTGCGGAGAAACTAAATGAATTCTTTGCATCGGTCTTCACAGCTGAGGATGTGAGGGAGATTCCCAAATCTGAGCCATTCTTTTTAGGTGAGAGGTCTGAGGAACTGTCCCAAATTGAGGTATCATGAGAGGAGATTTTGGAACAAATTGATAAATTAAACAGCAGTAAGTCACCAGGACCAGATGGTATTCACCCAAGAGTTCTGAAGGAACTCAAGTCTGAAATTGCAGAACTACTAACTAGTCTATAACCTATCATTTAAATCCGCTTCTGTACCAGATGACTGGAGGATAGTTAATGTAATGCCAATTTTTAAAAAGGGCTCCATAGGTGATCCTGGCAATTACAGGCCTGTAAGCTTGACTTCAGTACCGGGCAAAGTGGTTGAAACTGTAATAAAGAACAATATTATCAGACATATAGATGAACATAATGTGTTGAGGAAGAGTCATGGTTTTAGTAAAGGGAAATCATGCCTCATCAATCTACTAGAATTCTTTGAGGGGGTCAACAAGCATGTGGACCAAGGGGATCCAGTGGATATAGTGTATTTAGATTTTGAGAAAGCCGTTGACAAGGTCCCTCACCAAACACTCTTCTGCAAAGTAAGCTGCCATGGGATAAGAGGGAGGGTGGTCTCAAGGATTGGTAACTGGCTAAAAGATAGGAAACAATGGGTAGATATAAATGGTCAGTTTTCAGAATGGAGAGAGGTAAATAGTGGTGTCCCCCAGAGGTCTGTTCTGGGACCAGTCCTATTCAACATATTTATAAATGATCTGGAAAAAGGGGTAAAGAATGAGGTGGCAAAATTTGCAGATGATACAAGATTACTAAAGATAGGTAGACCTAGGCAGACTGCGAAGAGCTACAAAAGGATCTCTCAAAACTGGGTGACTGGGCAACAAAATGGCAGATGAAATTTCATGTTGATAAATGTAAAGTGATGCACATTGGAAAACATAATCCCAACTATACATATAAAATGATGGGGTCTAAATTAGCAGTTACCACTCAAGAAAGAGATTTTGGAGTCATTGTAGATAGTTCTCTGAAAACATCCACTCAATGTGCAGTGGCAGTCAAAAAAGTGAACAGAATGCTGGAAATAATTAAGAAAGGGATAGATAATCAGACAGAAAATATGTTGCTGCTATATAAATCCATGGTACGCCCACATCTTGAATAACTGTGTGCAGATGTGGTTGCCCCATCTCAGAAAAGATATACTGGAATTGGAAAAGGTTCAGAAAAGGGCAACAAAAATTATTAGGGGTATGGAATGGCTTATGTATGAGGAGAGATTAATAAGACTGGGACTTTTCAGCTTGGAAAAGAGACGGCTAAGGGGATATATGATTGAGGTCTATAAAATCATGACTGGTGGAGAGAAAGTAGATAAGGAAGTGTTGTTTACTACTTCTCATAACGCAAGAACTAGGGGTCACCAAATGAAATTAATAGGCAGCAGGTTTAAAACAAATAAAAGGAAGTATTTCTTCACACAGCGCATAGTCAACCTGTGGAACTCCTTGCCGGAGGATGTTGTGAAGGCCAAGACCATAACAGGGTTAAAAAAAGAACTAGATAAATGCATGGAGGATAGGTCCATCAGTGGCTATTAGCCAGGATGGGCAGGAATGATGTCCCTAGCCTCTGTTTGCCAGAAGCTGGGAATAAGTGACAGGGGATGGATCACTTGATGATTACCTGTTCTGTTCATTCCCCCTGGGGCACCTGGCACTGCACACTGTCAGAAGACAAGATACTGAGCTAGATGGACCTTTGGTCTGACCCAGTAGGGCCATTCTTGTGTTTGAACCAGCTAGTTAGATTATTATTATTGTATTTTTACACACAAAATTGCAGACACAATAAGAAACACTTTTTACTTAAGGCTGGACTGAAAAATACAGGCAGACCATGGGTGTTCTGAAGATATCCATGGTTTTCATTCCTAGGGATGCTTGGAGTGCTTTGGGGGATATGCCCAAAGAAGAAGCCATGATAGCATATGTTGAAGAAATGAAAAAGGTAAGAGTAATTCAAATCTATGTATCTTCAAAAGTAACTTTATATTTAGAAGATTAAAAAAAATAAAGAAAATATTTCACTAGCTGCGAGTAAAGCTTTCATTCGTGTTGTGAGTTTGCTGAATTAACTTAACCCTAAACTGTCTGGTGGTGATAGTTTTGAAGTTTAAGAGCTCTAGGGAACCTATTGACAATGTTTTTAATGAGAGGCCCAAATACAATGCAGCTCTCGCAAGTGAGCTGTAGTGAAACACTGGAACTGAAACGGTAGCTGATTCAGAACAAACTAGGGAAGGAGAGAGAGAGAGAGAGATCTCAAAGGAAAAAAGCTGAATGTGCAGTAAATTTTGCACATTTTTGCTGAATTCTAGTTTGAGATCTGATGGGACCCTTACATGGAAGAGTCTTGGGAAGTAGTTAATTAACAAAATGGGCTGAACCAAAACTCTGGATCTGAACATCTTTGAACTTTGGAGGACAATGAGTTAGAACCTAGATTTGAAACCGCCTCTAGTATTTAATATCAAGAGTCTGATTTAGACCCAAACAAACGTTTCTGGTCTATTGTTGGGAATAGAGATTTTTAAAATTCTTATAACTGTTCCTAGTTCTCTTAACGAGCATAATATAAATCCTTAAATAAAGTAGCTAGACAAATTCAGAGTTAAGACTGCTGCTCTGTCCTTAACTCATCCTGTCTTTTGACTACAGCCCTTTTAGTAGATCTCTGAAACAGTGAATGATCTTACATACTTTGAGCTGCAGCAAGGACAAGTATGTAATTTAACATAACTATAGCCAGGTTAGTATTAAGGACAGAGCGTGCAGTTTTCATTCAGAATATGCTATATTTTTTTCTAAGTCAGGCTATTAACCTCCTTTAAAGGGTTTTTATAACATTTTATTTCTGTTCTACCAACCACCATGTTATTCTTACTCTTTAATGACTACTTTTTTAAAAAAATTAGGACAGTTGTCCAAATTCTGTAGTCTTCACTCAAGCAAAACTCTCATTGATTTTAATGGGAGTTTTAATTGAATGAATAATGCAGAATTTGGCCATTCATTACTCCATAATCTTAATTGTCAAAAGACCCATTGAAATAACTAATAGAAGTAGCCAGTTCTCTTCAAAATAACTATCATTGAACAGTACTGTAGATAGTAAAATTAAATGAAAGTATGCCCTCTGAACGTTATCATAAGATAAACTGATAGCAAACAATCTCACAGGGTGAAATCCCCTCTACCTACATAAAGCCCATGTATTCTGGCCAGGCGTGCTGCTGGGGGTGGGGGTTTGTGGGGCTATAGCCACCCCAAAATTTGCCAGTCTCCATTTCTTTGGGAAGCTGGTTCATGGCTGGCATGGTGCTGGGCGAACTCACCCACTGCTAGAGGTGGCTGGGCTGAGTGGGAGTCTGCTGAACTAGGGTGGGGGGACAAGGAGCCTATCGGTGCTGGTTCTTGGGGGTCAGGAGTGGGAGCTGTGGCTGCTGCTGAACAAGCATTCAGGCTCCTGGGTGCTCGGCTTAAAGAGACAGCATGCTGGCACACACACAGTTTCACACACACTCTCCCTCCAACACACTCTCCCAGTCTCTCACACACCGTTTCCCACTCTCTCGCCTCTGCAGTCTCTCACACTTGTAATATTATTATTATTATTGTTTGTAATTTCTTGGTACTTCCTACTGAAATATATATTCTCTGTCATTTTATTCTTTTCAAAGTTAAATTTAATTTTTTGAGTAGTAATTTCTAAAATGCCTAACCTGTCCTGGCTGGAGTAATTATCATTATTACTTTTATTGCCATATTGTGCTTTGCCATTCATTATTTAAAGTGGTACAATCAAATAATAGTATCCTTCTAGAATGTAAATTTGGCTTGTACTCACCTTAACAATGCCAGTTTAAAAAAGAAAAAAACATTATCTAAAAACACAACTTTAGACACTGTAAAGTAACTTAAAATTTGTACAAAAATAAATGCAGTTCCAAGTCTGACACTAATAGTGATGATGGAGTTAAATGTTAGAGAGTCACGTACATGATTGTGACTGGCAAACATAAATGCAAAAATAAGTAGAAAAATAAATTCCTGTCTTCATAAAAGAGAAAAACTTTAATCATGTATGTGAAAATTAAAATAGTTTTTAGTGGAGTGAAAAACAGTTGATGATATTGGAGGCAATAATGGCAGTAATACAGTGTGTCTGTTAGAGAAAGTAATCAGATTTGATTTATTTTTATTTAGCTCCACTAAAGATAGTGTACAAAGTATCAAACTTGTCTTTCTGATATCTGTGTTAAGGCTACAAAACTGATACCTCAAGGTTTACGATTGGGAATATTTTGCTGTATTATCTCCTGATTGTTCTAAATTTGACATATAAACTTAAAATATGGCTTTAATTGGTATTTGTGTATATTTTTTTTCTTTCTTTATATAGGAATGAGATGCAGTGCTCTTGTCAGCTAATTTCTAAGTTATTATCTGCAAAAACCCTAGACTTTTCAGGTGCCTTACTAGCCTCTGGAATCACAGTTAAAGTAAACATGGGCAGCAGGTATAATGGGGGAGAGCGAGGGCCCGTGGTGGAGCGGGGGTGGAGTGTGTGTGGGGGCCATGGCAGAAGAGGCAGGACAGGAAGTTAGCCTCCCCCAGGGAAAGCTTCATCGCCATAGACTAAACATCCATCCCCCTTCCTGCCCACAGCCTCCTGCAGCTGCTGCCAGGGATGGAAGACCGAGCCAAAGTAGGGTTGCCAGGCGTCCTTTTCGACTGGGTGTTCTGGTCGAAAACCGGGACCCTGACGGCTCTGGTCAGCACCACTGACGGGGCCGTTAAAATTCCGGTCGGTGGTGAAGCAGTGCTAAGGCAGGCTCCCTGCCTGCCCTGGCTCCGTGTGGCTCCCAGAAGTGGCTGGCATGTCCCAACAGCCCCTACGTGCATGGCTGGCCAAGGAGGCTCCGCGCGCTGCCCCCAAGCTCTGGCTCCACAGTTCCCATTGGCCGGGAATTGAAGCCAATGGGAGCTGCGGGCGAGGGCAACGCATGGAACCTCCCTGGCCTCCCTTGCACCTAGGGGCTGCAGGGATATGCCAGACGCTTCCCGGAGCCACCTGAGGTAAGTGCTACCCAGAGCCCACACCACCTCCTGCACCCCAGCCCTGAGCCCCCTCCCATTTCCAAACTCCCTCCTAGAACCCGCACCCATCCCACACTCCGAACCCCTCGGCCCCCTCCTGCGTGCCAAACCCCTCATCCCCGGCCTCACCCCAGAGCCCACAGCCCTGGCCGGAACCCTCCTGCGCTCCAACCTCCTGCTCCAGCCCAGTGAAAATGAGTGAGTGAGGGTGGGGAAGAGGGGGGGGGGATGGAGTGAGTGGGGGCGGGGCCTCAGAAGGGGTGGGGCCTTGGGGCAGGACAAAGGTGTTTGTTTTTCTGCACTCAGAAAGTTGGCAGCCTTAAGCCGAAGGTATCCCAGTAATGCCACCTACAGTGCCTGTGCTCATTTAACCCTTTCTAGCACTGAGGCCTTCTGCTCCAGAATGACCGCAGTGTGAGTTGTAGTATTATGGCTCTGAGTCTCCAAATCTTCCAGATATCATACTTTGCTGTGTGCAAACGGTTATTTTAAAAATAACAGTATGTTCTCCAATTTAAAGTAATTAGCTATTAATAATATTTAACCAGTAATTTTTTTCCAGAAGTTTGCATTTGTTGGTGGTGGTTGTTATTAGTTTATTTATTTATTGGCTTAGTTTTGTTTTCTATTGATTTTCTGTGAATAAATGTTGCACCAGTGAACTGCCATAGCTGAAGTTTAAAATGGATCTGTCTGTATATATTTTTGTTCTCCTATTTGAGGATAACATAGATAAAACACACATGTATGTGTGCCAACAAAATGTATAGGGCAGCCCACCCAATTTTTTGTTTAGCCCACATTAGCCCCGCCCGGTAGAGCCTTTGATTCTGGTTTTGTGCAGAAAGGGTATGGAGTGGCGGGGCAGGTGAAAGTCTCCCACCTTACCCAAACACAAGATTAGTGATCAGGTTTACTTTACAGCTTCCCTACTGCCAAGGCTGAAATAAGACTGAGATAAGAGCCAGAGTCCTTCCACCCCAATAGTGCTCACCTGTATACATACACTTTCAAAAGGACTTTCACCACACAACTTCTTTTAAAATTTGTTGTGGCTAAAGCCCAGTATGATTCTGAGAATTGTCCAGATTATGTGGGTAGTTTTTGTGAGGTGTGTGGAGGAGCAGCAGTGACATTTATATTTAAGTTTTGATGCAATTTTTTCAGTTGAGTTGAAAGCACAGCATGTAGATGTAAATGCACTGCAAACCAAGTTAGGCTGTGACAAAGTTTTAATTTTCTACAGCTGTATAAAAGAAAAGGTGGTAAAATCTCTTTCGCTAATTTCCAGCAGCATATCTGAGCAGTTCACATGTTTCCCCCTTTAGAATTTAGAATAATTTGTTCTGTTTATGCACAAAATGGATTAGAAACTCACTGAAGCTACTCTTTAATGGGAGTTTTGCTTTTTTGATAACTTGTGATTGGTTTGCAAAACTAGCTTTGATTGCTATTGTTGCCACCTGCCAGTCAGCCTGGAGTTTTGCATGGCCAGGGTTTGCCATGGCTACTGTTTCCTGCTGATCTGTGTGGGGCTTTTGCTTGCAGATGGTTTGCTGTAGCTTCTTTTGCAACTACTTGCTACCTTGCCTGGTGCCTTGTCTGGGAAGGGCTTACCATAGCTACTGCTGCTGTCTTACAGGAAGAGGGTTTGCTGCCACTGCTGCCTGCATCTTTTCCTGGAATTATTGCTTAAAAGGGGGAATCAGCAAAAGCTACCCAGGTGGATTAGAAAACTGCAGACTTATTACTTTTTGTTGCCAGTTTCAGTATCTTCTCTGCTATCTCTGTTCTGCCGAATGTCTGTTTGACTGCACACCTTGCTGTGATATGAATGCTTGTTCTGGTGCTAGGGTGTGTTGGATTAGTAAACTGAAAACCTGATCCAGCTGCTACTGACTTCAAGGGAGCAGGGTTGGACCCTAATTTTCTGTCTTGATCATGTGATTTTTGGAATGTCCTTACTTTGGTTCTGTCCCTCTGATTTGGGGGGCTTTTTGCTGTGGACAGTGGCAGCTGGTAAATTAGAAGGGCACAATGGGCACCTCATAACATGGTGCTTGCACCCAGCCAAAAGAGGATAGGATATGTCAAATAAAAAGAAAATTATGTTGGAAAGGAGTTCCCTCAGTTTCATTTTCCCCAAGGAAAAACTGATTAAAAAGCACATTGCACATGATCACACCCCCCCTGTCTGTCAAACTTCTACCTGATTTAGTTTGAAATTGCTGAGGTAATAAATGTTGGAATTTGTAATTGATATGCTGATGGACTCCCTTAACTACAATAAACAGTTTTATTCAATATGAGCCTGAGAAGGAGCCAGAATTTATCCATGTACGTTGTCAAAGAGCCACAGTAATATGTCAGCAGTCCTCCATCAGCTCCCCCCTGGCTCCCAGCGCCTGCTGCCCAATGGCAGCCCCGCTGATCAGTGCCTCTCCATCCCTCCCTGTACCTCCTGATCAGCTGTTTCAAGGCATGCAGGAGGCTGGGAGGGGGAGGAGCGAGGGCATAGCGGGCTCAGGGGAGGGGGCGGGAAGGGATGGAGTAGGGGCAGAGCCAGGGGTTGAGCAGTGAGCACTCCCCAGCACATTGGAAAGTTGGCGCCTGTAGCTCCAGCCCCGGAGACTGTGCCTATACAAGGAGCTGCATCTTAATTTCTGAAGAGCCACATGTGGCTCCGGAGCCACAGGTTGGCCGTCCCTGCTATATAATGTTAAAATGCAGAGTTGAACAGAATGTTATAAAATTTATTTTGTGACATGTTATTGCTATATGAGTATTGCAGTGAACATAAGGAAATTTGGCACCAAGTTAAATAAAATGAATCGTTAATATATTGTTTCACAAGACATTTTGTATTTTGGACTCGTACAGATTCTTGAGAGTATGCCAATGACGGAGAAAGTTGAAGAATTACTACAAGTGATAGGCCCATTCTATGAAATAGTAGAGGATAAAAAGAACAGAGCATCTGGCCTAACATCAGGTTTGAATAAATACCTCCTCCTTATTTTGTACTGTAAATAATAATAAAAATTTAGACTCTCTTAACTAACTTACTTACATTTCATTTTCAGTTTAAATTCTATAAATAGTTTCTTAAAGCTAAATGTTGCATCTTTCTATTTCATTCCTTTACCATATGCCAGTCCGACTGGAGAAAGTCTCTAAATATTTAGAAGGTAGGAATGATAAATTTCTGTGTAAATCCATTTGTTTCATTGTTTTATGTGCTGTAATTCACTGCAACACTTGAGACTTCTGGGTTTGTCACCTTTAATTTTTATTTAAAAATAAAAACACTACAGGAAGGTCCAACAGCATGTTTGGAATTTAACCAAATATTTTCAGTGCTGGAGAGGAAAACTTCACTGCAGAGCCTCTGGTTGCTGAGAGAGAATTAAAAAAATATCCAGTTTCTGCCTCTCTATTGATAAGAACAGCCTTTTAAATTCTGCCTTTCTTCTGCATCCTGCATGTGGGTATGTGCAGGCAAGCTGTGTACTGTAGTTGGCAGTCTATTTATTCTCTGTCTTCCAGCTTGAGAAACTTTTTTTGCTCTCCTGCAATTTTTTAAATTATTATTTATACATCAGCACAAGTATGCATGGGATTCCACAGACAAATAATAAAGGACCTGTAATCTCCTCCCCTGTACTTGCAGTCCGCATTGCCCAGTGCTAGAGTTCAAGGGAGAAGGGATTAATCTAACAGTCTGTGAATATCTGACAGGTGGCAAACCTAGTAATTTCATAGTTATGTAAAAAGGCACTGTGGCAACTATTATTTTACAACATTGTTGTATTTCATAGTTGATTCTGTGAAAATGTTTTGATAATTAGACTGTTGAAACATTACAGGTAAGGTTGTCTGTCTACATCTTGGTTTAAGAGTCTAAAACCTAGCTAAAGCTTTAAGATAAAGTTGGATATATGTAGCCTATGTTTGGAACAATTTTTTAAAAATTGATCTGTTCTAATTTTTAATTTTTAAAAAAGTTTAATTTTTAAATAATTTTAAAAATAATGTGACAAACTGGTTTAAAGTGCTTTTCACATTTTTACAACTCAAAAATGGCTTTGATTAATTGTCAGCGTTTAAACTAATCAGTTATATGTTCAAATAGTTTTTTCATATTTTAGAGAAAATAATAATGGCTGAATTTTTAAATGGCCACTTTAAAAGCAGGGTCACTTTTTTCAACTAAAACTGCATATGCTTCAGGTCTGGTATTTAATTAGCCTGCTTGGCAGCTCGATTGGCAGGCAAGATTGTAACAGAGTATCTGCAGATTCAGGTCAGTGATCTGCATAATAAGGATTGACTCACTTGGAATCTATGGTACAGAGTGCCAAAAGCTACTTTTAAAAAGTAGCTAAATCTAAACTAACAGAATCATAGAAACTAAAGACAAAAAAGACCAATTGGATGACCCAGACCAAAATACAATGGATCCTGAATTTGTTACTCCAACAAGTATATTTTGTTAACATCAGAAAATTTATATCCTAATTTAAATAACATTAGTGAGGCAAACTAACCATATCAAGAAACTTCAGAGTTGAAATTCAAGTTTCAGCCTTATCTGGCTCTATCAATATTGTAACAGATGTGGTACATAGCATTCACAAATCTGAAACTCTGTGACATCTAATTACTTTAGCATAGGTTTAGATAGATTCAGAATCTTAATAGTGAGTTTCTTTTCAATTTTGTCACAAAATTATTACATTGGGGATGTGAAGAAATCCTTCCCTCACTCCCACCCCAGTCCACTGAAGAAATTAATATTTTAGTAATAAGCTATAAATACCAATTAGTACTTACAATACTATTCTTCTAATAATCCTAATCCAGTGTTTTATCCTTTGGGCCACTCTGCCTTCTTTGAGTCCCCCCCCACTCCATTTTTCCTCCATATTAATTTTTGCACTGTTCCCCTTTGAGGAAAACTCAGGAAGCTTGATAACAGCAAAGGTAAGGTTTATTCCCCTCACTCTTTCACCAGTCTCACATTCTTTCTGTCTTTCCATCTTCTTCCACTTCTCGCTCTCCTCCCATGCATCCTGGGAATTGTAGTTCCTGGACTCAAGGTTATAGGACCCACTAGGAACAAAATTTACACACACAATCTGGGGTTGCTATGTGCACCTAGATAGCTACAATACACAATTCCCTTTAGAATAATCATTGTAAAACTTTCAACAGTCGCATCCAAGCCATCACTTAAGTCCAGTAACAAAGTTTTCCAACCTTTTTGGCAGTCTCCTTTGTCTTACACCTCTAATACCCGGAGAGGCAGGAATGAGACTAGGTGAGGGAGCAATTCCTACTAGTATAGATTATCCATCATCGCTATCTGTGTCATTGATGCTCTCTGGTCCAAGGTGGAAATTGTGATTCTCTTCGTCAGCGGCTAGCTGATGAGCTGTGGATAATCTTGAAATGTTCCATTTCTTTATACAGCGGAATCTCCTCAGATTTCTGTTAGCTGCAGATGACATGAATGTCTTGAATGCCCTTTTTTGACTCTGCATGGCAGCTTCACATGAACAAAATTTTCAATTTAAAGCTTGTGAGGTTTAGCACCTTTCTTATGATCTACATACTGTCTGTATTTCTCCTTTTTGTTCTTAAAACATTCATGAATAGTTTCACCTGAAGGTTTGGTTGAAAAAGGAGACTATATAAGCATTTGACAGATAGTAAGTCACGTATTGGCCTTACATCCTCTAACAGTTTGAAGGGTGATACTCCTGTTGAGTGTGTAGTGGTCCTGTAAGCAAACAGTGTTTCACATAAAGTTTTTTTCCACGGTCTCATTTGCAAACTGGTAAATTAAAGACTTTCTTTAACCAGTCTGTTCATTCTCTCAACTACACCATTAATTCTCCGCTGGTATAAAAAAACTATTTTGCGCTTGATACTATTGCTACTGAAGTAGTGTTGCATTTCAGCAGGTTAATTGTATTCTGTTGTCAATTATCAATTCCTTGGGAAATCCTTCTTGGCTAAAGACTGATCACATGAACTTAACTGCTGTTTCAGTAGTAACCATTCCAGTGAATGTAACTTCCAGCTGCTTTGAATGATAGTCTACCATTACTATGGCAAACCTTTGCATAACAGGGTAATCTTCAGATGATCCCATTATGTCGAGCTGGTTTCTCCCATGGACAGTTAGGATAGTCAACTGGTGTGAGAGGGATGCTGAAGGTTTCTGTGACTTATCACTACTAGCACAAGCCATGCAATTCTTGATTATTTCCTCAAGGTGCTCATCCATCCCTGGCCACCAGAAGTCGTGTTGCAGTTGTCTTTTGGTTGTACTCATTCCCAGGTTTCCTTCATGTGTCGGGAGAATCAGTCATTCTTTCAGAAGTATAGGCACAAATGATGGTAAATTCTCAAAATCTATTAATTTATAAGGGGCAACTCATGTGATATGTTTCTACATGGTTGTCAGTGTTCTGATGTCATCCTCCTGTAAAGCCATCCATTGACTATGGAAGTCTTTAGGTCCTAAAGTGCCTTGTCTTCTCTCATGGCTGTTGCTCACTCTGAGACTGTGATCATTCCTTGAGATTTGTGCAGTGACAATCCATTCATCTTTCTCTATTGCATCCTCATGATAAGATGTGGCTCAAGACCATACTCACAAGCATCTGTTGTGACAATCGTTTGCTTCTCAGAATCAAAGGGTCTTGGAGTTGGCCTGGCTGAAATTGCATGTTTGATCTTGTTTAAAGCTGTTCTTGCATACTTCATCCCATTCAAACATAACATCCTTTTTTAGGAGATGATACAAAGGAACTACTTTCATAGCAAATTGCTGTATAGACTTCGAATAGCATTGACACAATCCAAGACGGATTAAAGTTTGTCCTTATTGTTTGGCTCTGTTATATCACAGATGGCTTTCACATGGTGTGGTTTTGGTTGTATGTCCTAGTTATTTCACTAAGTCGGTACGGAATTGACTTTTCTTCTTGTTGATGGTAAGTCCATGTCATTGAAGTTTTTCTATAACCTTGTTTAGGATGAGATCCTGTTTGGATTCATCTTTGCCATACATTACAATATCATCTTGAAAGTAACGTCCCTTGTTTCTCCAGAGATCCAATGCATCATTCTCTGGAATACAGATGCTGCAGAGGCTAATCCAAGTGGCATCTTTTAGAATTGGAACGGACCTTCTGGAGTGATGAAAGATGTGTACATGTGGGATTCTTCCGTTAAGGGGATCTGGTGGTAAGCTAAGAATAAATCAAGGGTTACAAAGACTCTTGCCTCCTTTAAGTTGAGCAGCATTTCACCCAAGGTTGGGCAGAGGATGACAATCTGGAACAGTGTTGAAGTTTAGATCTATCAAATCCACAAATATGCAGATAGCACCATTAGGTTTCCTCTTGAGAATGAAGAGAAACCCATTCTGATAAATCAACTAGTTCAGCGATATCTGCTTTACATAGTTTTGAAATTTCCTCTTTGGTTGTCTCTGTGCAATTGGTATGTTTAGCACTTTATGCTGCGTAAACATTGCATTGTTTTTTTAGCAGGATCTTGTGCTTGAGCTTTTTGGGAACATCTTTGGTATCGGTGAAAACTTCTAGAAAGTCAGAGATGATTTCTGGTTGTAGCCTATCCTCAGTTTGCAGGAGAGGTTCTCTACTATTCGATCGAATATAATCTGAAGATCCCTTTGATTCCATCCTAAAATAGAAACTCCCTTTTGGGGTACATAGATTTTTTTTTCCCTTGTGCATTATGGCCTTTGTACTCAAGGATAGTTGTAAAATAGCCATTGATGTGGATGGGAGATCCACCATACCCTCTGGGGTATGTGTCTGGAGAATGCAGCATGGGTTGGGAGCTGGCACAAAGCACATTGCAGAATTGGTTGGGAACTACAGTAGAAGGCAAACCAGAATCCACTAACGTCATCATTACATGGCCAGCAACTCAATGTGGATTGGTGTGATGATCTCCTGTCACATTCAAAACATCCTTGGGATTCAGTTTGCCGTCATCTTCATCTGTGAGAACTCTAGATACAACATCGTCAGCAGACTTTAGAAAAATGTCTTTTTGTTGTTGTTGTACTTCTTGCATCCTTACTTCTTGGCAGAATAGCCCTGAAAATCTGCCTCTGACCAGGGTCACCACACCTGTAGCATTGGTA